GTCTTTCTTTTTTTAACACATTAACAAGACAAACGAAAAGTTACCTGCAATTTGCAAAGATGCACATTTAATGTAAAAGAAACAGAAAAACTGAGAGAAGAAAAAAAAACAGACAGCGGAAGTTTTGTTTTTTTTATTATTTATGTCGGCTTATTCACAAATGACGGTAATATCATTGTTTTTCATTAGAATAATAGAATAATCTAGAATGAATAAGAAAATTATTATATGATAACCTTGGAAGTCTATTTGAATATCAATCGAAAGGATCATTCATTCATTCATTCATCTATTCGATTGTCCGGAGAAAACAAAATTAATTCGATTGGTTTCTTTCTTTTACCAATAAATAGTTCTTATTGTAGAGGAGTGAAACAATTGAAATGGCCACTTGACGACCAACATATGATGGTCAAATATAATGTTTAAAATCATTTCATATCATATTATAAGTAATATAGATTAGTTTTATTCTTATTCAAAGAACGCATTACACAAATATTTTTAAGATGGCAGCTGATCCGAAAAACTACTCAGGTATTCTTATCTGCAATTGTTTCTAGAAGCAAAATCGTTTTTTAATAAAAGAAAAAAACACATCACTTTATATGCTTCATTTTTTGTTTATACTTGACATCAGTATTCGTTGATGGGTTCGCGTATAAAACAAAAAAATATAGTCATAATATTGATCATCAAATTCAATAGCATCATAATATTTGTCTACTGACAAAATTTATAACTATTTTCATATATATATATATAATCAATCAGCTGTTATATTCATGTATAAATGTACTCAAATTTATGAGTGAATTCAAAAATGACACATAAATATTCAACTGTATTGGTTACGAAACGGTTCGCTTCAGTGATTTTATACGTTTGAAATCAAGCATGTGATATTCTCATGACTTTTAACTTTACACAGTTGATAAATATGAATAAAATTTTGTAAATTTAATGTAGAATTGTATATATAGAATATATTTGCAATTGATTGAGAATAAAAGATATGAATAGCATGTTATGTATATATCTTATTTCCATCATTAGATATATGATCTACTGATAATAATTCTCTATTTTTAGGAAAAAATATCATTTAGGGAGCTTTAATAATATAAAGGGAGCTAGAAAAAGCCATTAATATTGAAGATAAATCACAACAAAATCTTCTCAATTGAAAAATTTTAGTAACGTCAAAAGAATATGACAATATATAAATCCAATAACTTGATAATATTAGTGAAAGATGATAAGCAATTTTATAAAATAAATAATTAAAAGTTAGTTTATGTTCATGAAACTATCATCTATAGATACAATATATCAAGATTCAAAAATTTCATTGGTTACATCAACAAACAAATGATCATCATACCGAATGACTAATTAAATGTAGTATTCTTTCTTGTTTCTTTTTTTAATTAACTGAATTCATAAAGCATAACTAAAGAAACGACGAGTCAATTTCTATGAAGAAAGTTATAATTAATGATGACGAAGAAACAAATGAAATACTTGATTGGTTAAATTAAATAGATACGATGGTCCAATAATATTTCCTAAAGCTGGTCATTGATGCAAAGAACGAGTCTTTTTTGCAGAATCAATATTAAAACTATCTATTTTAATTTCAGATGGCTTTGAATTCAATATTATCCTTATCATTTCTCATACTTTTATCATTGAAAAGTACATCTGGATATTATGTTGTCGTTGATGCTCATACAGATGAATGTTTTTTCGAAAAAATAACTGCTGGTACAAGAGTATTATTAACATTTGAGGTCATCGAGGGTGGTTTTCTTGATATTGATGTGAAAGTAAATAGAATTCGTTTTTGTTTTCATATTTATTCTCTAATCTTTATTTTCAGATCACAGGACCTGATCATAAAGAAGTTTTTCGTGGTGATAAAGAATCTGGTGGAAAAACAACTTTTTCAGCTCATATCGATGGTAAATCAAATTTAATTCTTAATTATATTTTTATATAAATTTTATTTCATATATATATTTAGGTACTTATACATTATGTTTTAGTAATCGAATGTCAACAATGACACCAAAAACAATTATGTTTACAATAGATCTTGGTGATACACCTAAACTTGATGTTAGTACTGATGGTACAGGTGGAAATGTTACATGTAAATAAAAAATTTTGTAACCATAGGCAAAATTCAATAAAATAATTTTTGTTTTTCAAAACTTTAGCACATCATAATAAACTTGAAGAATTAGTTGCTGAATTATCAACTACATTAATGAATGTTAAACATGAACAAGAATTTATGGAAGTTCGAGAACGTATTCATCGTGCAAGTAAGTTTTTCTTGTCTTTACTTAATATAGAGGATATGAAATACATATTGTTTTTTTTTGTAGTTAATGAAAATACAAATTCTCGTGTTGTTATGTGGTCTTGTTTTGAAGCATTTATTCTTTTAGCTATGGCATTTGGACAAGTTTATTATCTTAAACGATTCTTCGAAGTTCGAAGAGTCGTATAAAAAGAATATTTATGGAATTAGTTCAATAAAGTGTTATATTATTATTTCTTCCCGCAATATCAACGATTAGATCTGTTATTCTTCCATATTTTATTCTTTTATTTATTTCTTATTCCATTTATTATTTTCTCTCATCTTTTGTTATGATTGTTTAGGAGTGTTTAAATGTATTTCTCATTTGTTTTTATTGTTATTCTTAAATAAAAAATCGATTTCATTAGTCTCATGTAAATCCTCATTCCTTCATATATAGAGAAATTTTGAGAGAGATAAAATATAGAAATCATTGACACAGGGAGTGCACACTAGCGGGAAAATTGTTTTCGTATTGTGACAAGGTGTTTTTACCAGTACCCCTTCAAATATTTTTTGGCTAAGGGAGATGCACGAGCACCTTTGCACTGACATAATAAACAGAAAAATATATTTCAAGGCTGTTATCAAACTTAGGTATAAGACATTCATTTGAAGTATTACGAGTGCATTTAATATTCTGATTCGATTTTGTATTATTATTAGTAAGAAAATATTTCTATGAATAAAGAGACTTTAAATGATAAAGTGAACGTTCTGATACTTGGAAGTACATTTATCTTGAAATTTATAATAACTAACTTATCGTTTATTATATCTATTAATTTCTATGCCTTATTAATCAAAAAGATGAATATGACAATATCGTGTCTCTAAATAATACTGAAATTTGATTGTAAAATTTTAATATCATATAAGAAACTTAATTTTTATATTAGGTGTTCTTTTGATCCCAAAAACAAAAACCCACACCACACTATACGTCCGATTATACAGCCTATGATCAAGGATTTTTCACCTTTATACTCTTTTAACTAACTATTAATAACTATATCTTTTTAGGTAAACTATGAAAAATTGAAATCTAACTTAATTTTCAAAATTTTATCAAAGACACTCAATACTGTTCTATTAGAAAATTGAGCAAGTCAACACAAAAAATTGTAGTAAAGTGACATAGATATTTTGTATAAAAAAATTGATGTCATATCGTAAAAGATAGATTTTACAATATAACGAGACAGCATCAGATAATCATTGGATATTGTCTTATAATCAATGATCTTCGATAGAAGGAGTTAGTGAGTAGATTATTACAATAGAATATGTATAAATATGAACTATTTTAATACAGTAAAACCTCCTAAAATGAACACCTCTCTATAATGAACACCTCTGGTTTGAACACATTTTTTAGTTCCCCCGATCGATTTTTGCTGTAAATAGACCTCCGCAAGATGAACACCTCCGACCTCTGAACAATGAACGCTTTTTTAGTCCCTTCTGTAAAAGAAAACCTCTACATAATGAACATATAGTGATTAACTGTACGTTCTTCTATGAAACACAGAGCTGAAAAAATATGCTGTTCATATTAAGGAAATGATAAATCAGTTTTTGACGGTCAACTCATCATAACAAGCTCTGTCGTATGTATGGATCAAACAAAACAATGTGATTAATTGGCGACGAGTTAATCGATTCTATATGATAGGACAACATGCATTCTATCTTCGATTGTAAAATGAAACAGAACACACGTTAACTTTGTCTATAAAAATGCAGTTAATTAGTGAAAATGAAAATAACGCTTCATATCGTACAATTACTGCGAAGTACAAAATCTCGGTTGGTAGTATCTCAATTACCGACTTTTCTTGGAAAAAATAAATAGATGTGAATAATAGACAAAAATGCTTTCTTTTACTAGTTTTTGTTTAAAACGAAATAGATCTTTAATATTTTAAAGATAAAAAAAATTTTATTTTTATTTTTCACTTGGTAGTTGAATAAATATGTGAAATAATTGAAAAAGATAGTGTTTTAGCATTAATAGTAATAGATTTTAATATCAAGATGCATAGCTATCATCTGTCCATACTAATATTATATGGTGTATATCTAAACCTTTATTTAATATGAAACCTCTGTAAGATGAACACCTCCTCTAATGAACACTTTTCAAGCGGTCCCATTAGTGTTCATCTTATGGAGGTTTTACTGTATATTGTTTCTTTTCTGATTCACTCGCTTGAGAAAGATAAGCCCAATTTGAAAGGCCTAACGTATTATATTCCTTTTTTCCTCAAAAATAATTTATTATTTATTATTCTTCTGTTTTTTTATAGATATAATATAATTATTAAAAAATTGAAGTTATTATTTATTCTCTTCATGGATCAGAATTCGCAAATTTATGTTGACTTGCTCAATTTGAAAGATTAAATCTGCTATTCTTCCACATTTTATTCTTTTATTTATTTCTCTCTTCTTTCGTTATGATTGTTTAAATGTATTTCTCATTTGTTTTTATTGTTATTCTTAAATAAAAAATCGATTTCATTAGTCTTATGTAACTCCTCTTTCCTTCATATATAGAAATCATTGACATAATAAACAAACAATATATTTCAAGGCTATTATCAAACATAGGTATAAAACATTCATTTGAAGTATTACGAGTGCGGTTAATATATCGAATTCGATTTTTATAACCGATGTTGTATTGTCATTAATAAGAAAATATTTCTATGAATGAAGAAGTTTTAAATAATGGAGTAAAAGTTCTTATATTTGAAAGTACATTTATCTTGAAATTTATAATAACTAACTTATCGTTTATTATGACTATGAATTTCTATGCGCCATTAATCAAAAAGATGAATATGATAATATCGTGGGTCTAAATAATACTGAAATATGACTGTAAAATTTTAATATCATATGAATAACGTAACTGTCGTACTGGTTGTTTTTTCGATCCGAAAAGGAGAAACCCACGCTCTACGTTTCGATTACACGGTCTATGATCAAGGATTTTTCACCTTTATACTCTTTTGACTAATTATTAATGACTGTATCTTTTTAGGTAAACTATAGAAAATTCAAATCTAACTTGATTTTCAAAATTGAATTTCATTGAGTTTGTTTAAGTATTCTAATACTATTCAAAATATAATCACTGAATATATTTATACATTTCTTCATATTATATAAAATAATAACATATTACTGACCCTAAAATCTTCTAATCTCTTAAGTTATATTAATTTGAAATATTTTTTACTGATTTATTTTATTATAATTTCATTGTTTAAAAAACGACGAAAAATTTGAATGACAAAAAAAAAAAA